TCCGTTCTCCTCTCGGAATCTTAAGCACGCACACGCACCCGGTGTGAATTTAAGCCACCGGGTCCAGGACTCGAACTGCGGTCAACTGCATGGGAGTCCGGCAACATAGCCATCACGTCAACTGCTGGTCCCCAGTTTTTTGAAAATTTGAAAGTTGTTTATTAACTGTCAAGAGCTATGGAGTATAAACAAAAACTTTTCGATATGTAAAGTAAATGTTTGTGGGAAAATGTAAAAATAAGTAAATGACTAAAAAACAAATAAACAAACTAAAAAAGTCAGGTAGGCATATTAGTGTGGGTCTGTTTCTAGATATTCTGTTCTGTTCCATTCATCTAGGTCTCAGTCTCCCTGGCAGTGTCACAGTCTTGATTTCTGTACCTGTACAGTAAGTCTTGAAATCAGACTTTTTCTACTTTGCTCTTCTTTTTCAGAACTGTTTTAGCATTTTAGTTCTTTTGCCTTTCCATATTAATATTTGCATAACCTTTATACCTAAAAAGAAAATCTTGCTGGGATTTCAATTTTCAATCCATGAAAATGTCTTTATTAATGTGTAGTTTTCAGTGTACAAATTCTATATATGTTTTATTTTTACACCTAAGTGTTTCTTTTTAAAATTGTGGGGAATTACAAATAAAGAGTTGCCATCTTAACAGTTTGATGTGTATAATTTACTAGTGCCAACTGCATTCATATTGTGCAACTAACCTTCAGAACTCTTCAGTGCTGAAACTCTGTGCTCATGAAGCAACAACTCCCCCTCCCTGCCCCCAGCACCTGGAAACCACCATTCTACTTTCTGTCTCTATGACTGACCACTGCAGGTGCCTTAGATAAGTGGAATGATACGGTATTTCCCTTTTTTGTGACTGGCCTATTTCACTTAGTATAACGTCCTTGAGGTTTATTCATGTTGTAGCATGTGTCAGAATTTCTTCTAGTTTTGAGGCTAGAGTTTCATCGTGTGTACACATCACATCACATTTATCCATTCACTCAGTCAATGGACACTGGGGTTGCTGCCACCTTTCAGCTATTGAGAATAATGCCAGTATGGACGTGGAGGTAGAAATATCTCTTCAAGACCCTGCGTTCCATTATTTTTGGGGTAGAGGTGCTGAATCATATGATGATTCTACTTTTTTTTTTTTTTTTGAGAAACCACCATATTGCTTACCATAGCAGCTGCACCATTTTGCATTCCTACCAACAGTGCATAAGGGGTCTGTTACAGTTCCTTCACATCCTTGCCAACATCTGTGTTTTGTTTGTTTGTTTCAGCTGTTTCCATCTATGTTATCTGATCTTTTTAAAACTTTTTATTAACATGTAATAATTGTATGTGTTTATGGAGTACAATGTGATTTTTAGTATAAGTGTACCATGTGTAATAATTAAATCAGGGTAATTAACATACCTATCGCCTCAACCATATGTCATAGCTCGGTGTTGAGAACATCCAAAATCCTCTCCTTCTTCTGAGCTATACAGCAGGTTGTTAACTAGACTCCCACTACTGTACTTTATAACCCTGGACATTGTCCCTCTTCTCTGTTTGTAATTTTGTTTCCATTAATCACCATTATTCTACCCCTCTAATCCCTATCCTTCTCAGCCTTGTCATTCCTCAGCTCTCTGCTTTTGGGATGCTGCTTTTTTTTTTTTTTTTTTTTTTTTTTTTTCTTTTTCCACATATGAGTGAAAACATGTGGTATTTCTCTTTCTGTGCCTGATTTATGTCACTTAACATAATGTCCTCCAGGCTAACGCTTGCTGTTTTCTGGGGTTTTGATAGTAGCTGTCCTAATGGGTGTGACATGGTATTTCATTGTGCACTAATGATTAATGATATTGGACAAGTTTTTGTATGCTATTTGGCCATTCATATATCTTCTTTGAAGAAATGTCTAGTTAAGTCCTTTGACCATTTTCAAATTGGACTGTTTGTTTTTGTATTGCTCAGTAATGAAAGTTTATGTTGTTGTTTTAATTCGCTGTAAGGGACATGCACTCACTGGAGAGAGAGAGAGAGAAGGAGAGAGAGTGAGAGATGGAGAGAGAGAAGAAAGTGCCCCCATCACCACCTCCATCTCCTCTGCCAAAGAGGGTGATCATGCTGCAGTCCCTTCTCCATTTTCCTCTTGGAATTTTGGACACGCATACATGTGCCTGGTGTGTTTTCAAGCCATTGGATCTGAGACTCAAACCCTCAGTCAGACATGTGGGATCCAGCCACATTGACCACTTGGCTAGCCAAAAACTTTTTTTTATATATTTTGTAAACTAGACCCTTTTCAGATATATGATTTTCAGATGTTTTTCTCTATGTTATTGAATGCCATTTTACTCTCTTGATTGTGTGCTTTGATGAGCAGAAGTTTTAACATAGTCCAATTTATCTATATTTTTTCTTTTGTTGTCTATACTTTGGGTGTCATATTCAATTTTTTAAAGCAATGCAAGTGATATTGAATTTTAATAGTAATTTTTATTGTTAGTCTATAGACATGCAATTGATTTGTTTTTGTTTATCTTGTATTCTGTGATGGTGCTAGACTCACTTATTCATTCTAGGAGTTTTTTCTTGTAGAAACCTTGGAATTTTCTTCATAGACAATCATGCCATCTGAAAATAGAAACAGTATTATTTATTTCTGCTCTGTATGACTGTAATTTTTTAAAAGTTTATTTAGAGAGGGGACTGGCAGGTGGCATGGTGGTTAAGGTGCTGGACACTCCCATGTGGCTGACCATGGTTCAAGTCCTGGATTTGGTGGCTTGCTTTCTCACTTTCCTCTCTCTGTCTCTCTCTCTCTGGTCAAATTAAAATAAATGAATGAATAAATAAAATTGAATAAAATAATTCTTTAAAAAAAGTTTATTTAGAGAGAGAGAGAGACACTCTCCCATGCCTCTCCGTTCTAGTCCTGACCACTGCAGATCAAGGCCCACGTGCACACCTGGCATGTCCAACATACCCAAGAGGTCCTGGGATGTAAACCCAGGAACTTCCTCATGTGAGTCCAGTTGTGTTGTTACTGTTCTGCCATCTTAACCCTGCCTGTTATTTCTTTATCTTGCCTTATTGCACTGGCTAGAACTTCCAGTACCATGTTAAATAAGAACAGTGACAGAGGATATCCTCAATCTATATCTAATCTTAGGAAGAAAGCATTAACTAGGTGGAGGTGGAAGTTCAGGCTCCCCATTGGTCTCCACTGACAATGAAGGGGAGAAGTATGTTCTTATTACCAGCAGGAGGGGAGAAATGCCAACCTCTACATGGCCTTCTCTAATAACATCCAGACAGGAATTTTGTAAAGTCTCTTTATACCCTTGTAAGGATGAAAGTCTAACTCTTCACTCAGCCTTTGCGGACTGACTAGAGGTGGGACCATAGTTTTATTTAGCTGTGTGTGTGTGTGTGTGTGTGTGTGTGTGTGGTGTTTGGCTAGAGTGGAGTGGTTATCGTCTAAAAATATTCTTTCTTGATAGAGTGCCACTTTCCTGGTCTTTGGCTAGAGAGAACAGATTTTTGTTGTGTTGGAGATTTCTGTTTGTTTGTGCCTGTTGGTGTGTCTGGGTTGCCTTCTTCTTTGGCTTTCATTTTTGGATGTACAAAGCGAAAGGAAACCCAGGTACCACACCACACGTCATTCCCCAAGCCCCAAGGTCACTAGCCAGTTGGCCTTTTGCGCTCCACCTTCCAGAGTCTTCTTACGTTTGTTCTACATATAATATCCAGGAGTTTTCCATTGTACTTGGTGGGAGTAATATGGAAAACTACTCCATGTTCTCAGAATGATTTTTTGAACATTTATTTTATGCCAGCCATAAACATAGTGAAATGTTTTTCATCTGTTTTCAGAGGCCTTAAGGGTTAGCAGAATAGAGAGATATGCAAACAAATAGTTCAGATACAGTGCTATGTGCATTTCCGTAGAAGACTCTACAAGGTATTCTTAAGGCTTGAAGGAGGTGGGGGTCACCATTCTACCTGGGGGGAGGGAGCAAGAATGGCTTTTTAGAGAAGGTAGGTTATGCATGAGCTAAACTGAAAGATAAACAGATGTCCGATGGGATGATGAGAAAACAGCAGGTACAAAGGCTTTGGAGCCTCCGAAGGGTGAGGGTTCAGAGAACTCACTGCAGGCTGCCCCCTGTGCTGGGCTATGCTAAGGAAGCTAGAGGAGAGATGAGACCAGAGAAGTTAGTAGGGAGCAGTAAGGGGTTGCCACGCTAACCCTTGGAGCATACGGTCATAAGGGATAAGGTCAAATTTGTATTTCCGAGTGGTCACCCTGGAATGGACAGTGCAGGAAGTGGAGAGACCAGTGAGCACGTTTCTGGTTATGGTTCAAATGAGGACTGAACCAAGACAACGATGGTGAAGGCAAATTGCAGAGATGTGTTGGAGAGATATTTGGGAGACAAGATTTTTAAGAAGAGACGAAAAGGAGGAGCTTGGCTCTTTGACTGAGTAGCTTCAACTGAGAAAACGAGTATCCGGTTTTAAGAGGAGAAGAGAGAAAATAAATTGAGCTTTAGACCTGTGAGTTTGGAGCCTCTGTGAAAGCACAGTGAGGATGTCAGATGGATGAGCGTCTCAGCAGAGAAGGTAAAGCCAGGCGGAAACAGACTTGAGAGTCATCGCCTAGGCCGTGTAGTTAAAGACATAGAGCTCCCTACCAGGGCTTTAAGAATGAAAAAAGACGAGGGCCAGAGTGCAGCACGGGAGTGCAAAGCCACGTCTGTGAGGCAGTCTTACGTGGGAAGCTCCCTACTTCAAGTCCAAAGACCTCCCTGAGTATGCCAGGCACGCGCATGCCCATGATCTGGGCCAGCTGAGGCTGCGGGTGGATTGCGGTGTTGAGACCCTGCCAGGTTGCTGTCTCCCTCCTGAAAGGAAGAAATACACGCTCTTTAAAAAAATAATTTAAAAGAAGACCAAGAACAAATCTGCCATGGTTAAGGGGCGGGTTGCAGAAGGAGAGCCCGGGCTGGCTTCGGCAGCACATGTACTAAAACTGGAATGACGCAGAGAAGATTAGTGTGGCCCCTGCGCGAGGATGGCACGCAAATTCACGAAGTGTGTTAGTTTTCTGTTAAAGAAATAGTAGAAGGGGAGTCACAGTGGATGCTATGCAGAGTCTGAGGAGGGCGGTCAAAGACAATCGCAAGTCTGCAGGGGCCGGTCTCACCTGAGACCACGTTACAGATTACAGAGGAAAGGTTATGCCGGGAACTGCTGGGATGACAGAACTGAGAAGACCAGCAGGGGACGAAGTGCCTACCACATCCAGGGTCAGGGTGATAGGATCTTAGAATCTGAAACCACAAAGGGCCAGTCTGGGAGGGGTTGGGGCCCCCCAAGAGACTTAGATACTGCTGGAGACACCGCCTGAGGCAGAGAGGAGGAAGGGTCTCAGGGTCTCAGTGTCTCTTGTTGGCAGAACCCAGCCAGAAGCCCTGGGACGGTCAGGCTATGGGAATCAGCTCTGCCCTGTGCAGGGAAGAGCTGGCGGTGCTGAGGAATGGATGCCAAGGCCAACCCTGGGGCAGGCACAGAGGTCAGGGAGCTGAGAAATCCAGAAGGGAGTAGTGTTCCAGTGACCAGTGTCTCAGAGAGGTCAGCTGGCCCAGGTGAAGTTCCCTCCTTCCCTCCGGGGTTTGCAGATTAGGGAAACATCAGCGACCTTACTAAGAAAAAGGGCTTGGGGACCAGCAGATTGTGTGGTGGTTAAGGCTCTGGACACTCCCACATGGCTGACCATGGTTCAAGTCCCAGACCTGGTGGCTTGCTTTCTCACTTTCTCTCTTTCTGTGTCTGTCTCTGGTCAAATTTAAAAAATAAATAAATAAAAGAAAAGAAAAAAGAAAAAGGGCTGAGATGCAGTCCCAGCCGGCCCACCGCTCCTGCCTGTGGACACAGAGCTGCAGGCCACAGCTAGGTCCATGACGGCCTGCAGCAAGTGAGACCAGACCAGGGCTCAGACACAGTAGCTCTCCTGACATCTAAACTCATGCCCTACTCTCTGATCTCAAGCTTTTATCCTTTCCGCTTCCTATATCCCCAACCTCATGGGGTACTGTGTCCCCAGCATCCCTTGCCATGGCCCTGGGAGCTGGGGCCGAGGCCCGGCACTACATGCTCAGCCCCACAGTCCTATGATTGCGCAGGTGTCTGAGCGGGGCCAAGCACGATGGCTCTGCATCCTCTGGGGTTTAGCCCATTTGGTGGCTTCTCACCCTTCCCAGTGCCTGGCTGATTTCTTTGTGTGCCTCGGCCAGGCTCACGCTGCGCCAGGCTCGCCTGCGTTGGTATAATAGCCTGGATGGCTGTGCTTGTCGGAGAGGAGACAGCAGGGGCAAGGCCCCATCCAGGGCTCATCAGCCCCTGCACCCCAGCTGTGTTAATTGTCCAAGCCCTCCAACAAGCCGACCCTGTTTCCCCTCTGCAATTAAGACAGAAAGCTCATTATCTCTCCTGCTCCCATTATCTGCAGACTTGCTAAGGGGCTTCTTCTCAAGAGCAGCACCTGCAGAGGCCAGCAGAGGTTGGCCTTAACCCCTTCCTTGCTGGACTTGGGAGTCTCTGAGCCAAAGTAAATGTGTAAAGGGGATGGACGGAGGCACAGCAGTAGAATGTGACGCTCTGTGGGGCTGACCCACATGGGGAGTTTCTGGCTCACTCCTGGAGAATCCTCGAGAACATCTGTGATCTGGAGCTGGCTGAGACTGGGGGCGGATTATGGCATCAAGGCCCTGTTGGGAGTGCCGTCTCTCTCTCTCATCCCTGGAAGAAAGAAAGAAAGAAGCTTTCAGAGTAAAAGGATGAAGGCAGAAGCTGAGGCTGGTAGGAAGAGCTTTGGGGGAGGGCAGCGCCTGTGCCCTGGCCTCGTTCTCTTAGGAGCTTGCTGGGTGACTTTGGGCAAACTGTTCACCTTTTCTGAGCCGTAGAAATTCTCTTCTCCCCCTCTCTGCTCAGGGAAGCTATGGAAATAAATAAGCTGTTCAAGTTGTCAGCTCCCTTGAGTGACTGTATAAATATCTGGTCTTCTGTTATCATGGCTAAAAATACTTCCAGTAGTCAAAATTCAAGATAAAGCATGTAAATAGCCAAACAACCAGAGGTGTCCGTGCCCAGAGGAGCCTGTCAGGGCCTTGAGGTGCCCAGAGGGACTTGGATTTAGCAACCCCATGTTGCAATGTGTCCTTTGGCAAGTCACTTAATCTCTCTGTGCTCTTATTTCCTCCTCTGAAAAGTAGAGAATCCAACTGGATAATTTCCAAGGTTCTTTCCCACTGAGAATCCCATCAGCCACGATTCTTCTGTACAAGGCAATTTGAGAAGGGACAAGCATTTCCCGAACTGCTCTGCTGTGTGCCAGATCTTTCACATAGATCATCATTTCCATTTGAAGTGTGAGGACAAAATAAGGTTTAGTGGGGTTGAGAAGTTGTCCGAGGTCCAACCCCCAGTACATGGAGGAGTCTGGATCCAGATCCATGTTTAAGAGGCTGTAAAACTATTACTTCTTCATGATAGCATGTTTAATTTTGTCAGAGGGCATGTGTGCTTACCAGGGAGAGACCGAGAGACAGAGAGTGAACCCTTCCCTTCATTAGGGTGTGGTCATGCCACAATTTCTTCTCCATTTCTTCATTCTGTTGGAATTTTGGGCATGTATACATATGTGCCTGGTGTGCTTTTCAAGCTACCAGGGCAGGGATTTGAACCATATAAGCAGCCATGTGGAATCCAGATCCCTTAACCATTAGGCCACAGGGCCAGCCCATGAAAGCATGTTTTAAGAGGCTTCCTCTCTGCTGCTTCCTTACAAAACATAACTGCATGTATAGGGAAAAAAAATGTAACTTAGCTAAAAACAAGGAACTTGAATTCTAACTCTTTAACTTCTCCATAGTCCCGAAGTGTATAATAAAGAATGAACGAGAAGGAACCTTATTTCCTCTGGTCTTTTTGTGTGACTAAGAGATTACCTAAGGGACCAAGCAGGGGCACAGCAGTAGCGCAGCTGGGTTCACATCCAGGGACCACTCTAGGCATGCCAAACATGTGTGTGTGCCCACGATTCAGGCTGACTGACACTAGGGGTGGGTAGCAGTATGAAGACCCTGTTGGCAGGTATCTGTCTCTGTTTGTCTCTCTCTTTCAGTTTCTCTCTCTCACGGGAGAAATTAATAAACAGACTTTAAGAAAAAGAGAGATCACCTGAGATATGTGTGCAGACTCTTAAGGGGCAGGGGAGGAAGTTCGTATAACCCTTAGGCATTGGACTCTTCCCATCTGGGTGAACTGAGCCCCAGAGATGGACCACAGCTGCTCCAGTCTGGGACGTGCTCATGTGCAACAGAGCCCATGCAGCTTGATGAGAGTCCTCCCGAATCTGTCTCTAGAAGCTCCAGTGTGTCCACAAGAAATGACCAGAGCTTAGCTTATCAGTCCAGCTAGCAGGCTGTGATAGTTCAACGTCTGCATTCTGGATCTCTAGCTCAGTTCACTAATCTGCTCTGGAGTCATCCAGAGACAGAGGTTTGGGGAATGTCTGAAACTGACAGTGAAGAAGGGGATCAAGAACTTTGATCAGCTGGCAGGGAGTCCTGGAAGAAGAACCCCTGCATATCCAAGTGAGAGACTCAGAAAAGTGAGAGACAGACCTAAAATCCTTATTCTGGAAGCAACTCACTGAGGTCCTCTCACTCAGCCTCCACCCCCATGGACAACTGATAAGACAGACACTTCCTGTCTTGTTGTGCCACTTGGATAGATGTCCCAGGGGTCTGATCTAACCAGTCTCAAGCTTTGGGCAGGTCCTTGGTACCTTGTCCTTGAAGTTAGTCCCCGGGCTGGATCTTTCTTGGTTTTAGGATTCTGAACCTGTAATACCTCATCATCTGCTGAGGGTTTTTTTAGAGTATGAAAACCTTCACTTCAGAGTGTGTTCTGTGTCTTCTTTCAAGATTTCCTGTGAGGGGGAATGAAATGATGGGGGAGGCATAGAAATAGGTTCCTGTAGTCGCTAAATTTTGGAAATGCAGAAAATTCATCTTTTGAGGTCTTGATCTACATTAACACAGGAAAGTCTCTGACAAGTTCTTTATTCATAAATGCCAAAGGAAAAAACCAGAAATTTGGACTTTATCACAACTAAAAACTTGGTGCTTTAAAGGACTCTATCAAGGGGCTGGCAGGTGGCATGGTGGTAAAGGTGCTGGACTCCCACATGGCCGACCACAGTTCAAGTCCTGGACCTGGTGGCTTCCTTTCTCACTTTCCCTCTCTCTCTTTCTCTGACTCTCTCTGATCAAACTGGAAAATAATAATAATAAATAAAGTTAAATAAAATAATATTAAAAAAAAGACTCTAAAAAGAAAGTGAAAAGACAACTCCTAGAAAGGGAAAAAAATATTTCAAATCATATATCTGACAAAGGTCTTGTATCCAGAAAATATAAAGAACTCCTTTAACTTAACGAAAGCAAAAAAACATGGCCTGATTTTAAAAAATGGGCAAGAGACTTGAATTGACATTTCTTCAAAGGATATATGTAAAGGGTCAGCAAGCGTATGAAAAGATGTTCATCACTCATTATTATGAAAATGCAAAGCAAAATCAAAATGAATTACTACCTCACAGTCAACAAGATGGCTGCCATCAAAACCAGGAAATAACCAGCATTGGCAAGGATATGGAGAAACCGGAACGGAGTTTTTGTGCACTGCTAATGGAAACATAAATTGGTGCATCCGCTATGGAAAAGTATAGTTCCTCCAGATATTAAAAATGGACATATGATCTAGTGGTTCCACTTCTGGGTATACACCCAAAAGGATCAAAAGGGTCTCAAACAGTTGTTTGTACACCCATGTTTATCGCAGCATATTCATAATAGCTAAAGGTTAGAAACTACCCAAGTGTCCATCACCAGATGAATGAATAAGCAAAAGGTGGTTTATACACTGAAACATTATTCATCCTTAAAGAGGAAGGGAGTTCTGATACATGCTGTAACGTGGATGAATCTTGTTTACATGCTAAGTGAAATAAGCTAGATACGGGGCTGGCAGGTGGCATGGGG